CATTATCATGAGCTTCTATGGTTGACTTGAGCTAAATTGATTTGCCTAAGCTTCCAAGTCCGGTTTGAACCCTCTCTAAGCTTCTTCACACTCATTTGGAGGTTATCTTACCGAGTTTGTACTTGTCACTTGTTGGCAATCCTAATTAAATCAAGTACTTGGGTTCACTAGCTCATGAACAAATTCATATACCAAACACTAGATCAGCTTATCATTCAAGCAATAGTGGTAGGCTATGAATTTAAACATTTCATTTGTTATGCATGATCCTATGAAGCATGTACTATATGCACTAATCGCATACTAGTAAGGGATGAAATGATCATGCACATTACAATGATACCTTTGCTATGTTGGAGTAGAGGATAGTCACATAGATTCTAATTCATTAATCCAATAGCAATGTGAAGTCCAATTATAAGCTTGGTGAAGATCAATCATGAATAATGAAATTCATACTTCACCCATATGATTTGAGAACCACTAATATGATCAAGTGCACTATCTTGTTGTGGTTAGCTTGCTTCATCTTTTGATTAATGCTTGTATGAGAGAACTATTTGGAATGCCACTTGAATTGTCGTGACTAGCTCTCTTTTGGGTGTTGCTTGCTTTTCTTGATCAACCTTTTTTATTACTTTAACTAAGCATCTCAAATGTTCCTCGGATCACCACTTCTATGTTAGCCTTCTAAGCACCACACTTAGTTTACCTACACATAGGCGGTAAGACCCTACACTAGGGAGAAGTGACCTCTCTCCAAGAACCATTCTTGACACTCACTTAAAATAACTTGATTGATTGATCCAAGTGATGGACTTAACTTGATGAGTAACCTTGATTTCTTCTTTAAGTCCTTTTCTTTCTAATTGTTTAAGTCATTTTCTTTCTTCCAAATGATCTCTAAACATCACTTAGAATTTAAACTTCATCTCCATCTTGTGTTTGATCTTGATCTTCCAATTTGAGTACCAAGTGTGTGCCAAGTACACTTCCACAATCAAATGGCTTTGTACTCTTTGCTTGTCATGCTTCTAAATTATCTCAAAACCAAACTTAGATGCCTCAATTACTTATGAACATGTTTCAACTTGAGGACCTTTCAATCAAAGTTACTCCAAATAAATCCAATAATTGTCACTTTTCTGGCAGATTCTGTACTCTTCAAAGAAAAATGTATATCTCCCAATGTATAGATCCAAATACCACGAAATTTGGTGGAGATGTGCTTGACTAAGTTATCTAGCAACTGAAAAAATTTGATCTTCATTTGACTTCTAGATTGCTACCAGATTTTAATTCTTCCACCACTCCTATATGCTGAAACTGCTGCACTATAGCTGACAAGATCTACTCCAAAACCGAAGCATCTCTTATACAATTCTCATAAAATTTGTACAACATCTTATATCTTAAGTCTACAGCATGTACACCAATTGTTATTCCAATCCAATAAGTTTTGATCACTCAAACATGGCTAAGATCACAGCTCACTCAGATTTTCAATATAGGACAGATTTCAACTATTGAGCTATACTTCATCAAATGTGAATCAAACTTGAAACTAATTTGTTTGAATACTTCCACAAGACATATATCCATTCAATCCACTTACTAAATGTCATCTTATGAACTTATCGAACACAAATCAACCCAAACTTGATTACTAAGCTATTTATCCATAAAAACATCTTATAGCAAGCAACATTGCATATTTATCCTATTCAATCAACTCATATGCACCCAAATAAAATGATCAACAAGAGATATACCTTGGTTAGCTCATGATCATCCAACTAGCAAGCTTCAACTTAAATAATTTTTCAAGCCATCAAATAATCCAATAAATCACCACAACTTGAATATGACACTTGTATGTTGATAGCACTTGGACTTCACTAAATTTTCACTTGGCATTGAGTTTGGATGTGCACTAAGCTTTATAACTTGACTTAATATGTGATGAACAATGTGAGATCAATTGAATCAAGCCTCCAATGCCATGGTACCTACAATCATTCATCCACTTTTTGATGGTACCCAAATAAGTTTGGGTCCTCTCAAGTTAGGAGCAACATACTTAGACATACCTTTAGTATGAGTAGCGGGATGTTTTGCAATTGTAACCAATGAGGTACCATTGCCATCCTTTCTAAGCACATTATTATCAACAATTGAAATAGGCTTAGAATTGTTACCTCGATCCATCTCTGCACAAAAAATATTAAGACTTAATGCCGCATAAAAATGGGGAGAGTAATTATAGAGGAATTTAAAACAAGTGGAGCTTCATGACCAATAATTACAGCTCGAAAGTATAATTTATTCTACACTTATTTAATTTACACACTACTATAAACTTAATCGAGGCGCCTAAAAGCATTTCCCGAGGCGGGTATCCCAACCGCCTCTGTGGAAAGGTCACGGTAAACAATTCTTTCTGAGGCGCTTCAAATGCCTGCCTCGGCAAATAAAATTAAAAAAGAGAAAAAAAAAAAAGCCCTAGCCTAGCCCTAAATCGGGCTTGGATCTGGCCTCATTGTCTTGCCATCGTCGCCGGATCCGCCACGCCCGGCCGGATCCGCCACCCATCTTGCATGCAAGCATGAGGGAGAGGGAGAGGGATGCACCAACGTCTCCTGATCCGCCCACGCCGGGGTCGGATCCGGCCTCCCCATGCCCCACCATTGCCAGATCCGCCCGCGCCTGGTCCGTATCCGGCCTCCCCGTGCGCTGGCTGATCTCCATGGAGTGGGATACGCGCCACGCCACGGATCCCCCACGCTGGGACGGATCTAGCCTCCACAGCACACCACTGTCGCCGAATCCACCAGCCGCCGAGGCCGGATCCGGCCTCCCTGTGCACCGGCGAGCTCGATAGAGAGGGTTGTGCCACCGTCGCCGGAGATCGAGAAGAGAGGGAGGCGCATGCGCCTTGGCTGCGTCGACTGTGGGGGAGAGGGAGAGGAGAGGGAGGAGCTGCCGCTGGGGCTGCCATGGGGGAGAGGTAGAGGTTTGGGAGAGGAAGGGGCGAGTGAGGGAGAGGAACGGGGCATCGGGTGCGACGTTACGCTATTATTGGGGAGGAGCCGAGAGAGAAAGAGAGCAAGTAAGAAGAAAACCCTAAGTTGCAATATATATATATATATATATATATATATATATATATATATATATATATAATCCCGATAAGGGTAGTATGGGCCGTGGTTTTCATGGGCTTGCTAGTCCTCAGCTTATTAACCGAGGCATGCCTTATAAGAGGCCCGCCTCCGAAAATGGGGATATTTTTGGAGGCGGGTCTCTTCTATAAGGCCTCGCCTCATAATAGATTTTAGGAGACGCGGTTATGTTTTAACCTTTCCGTAAATGGATTTTACGAGGCGGTTGAATGTGATCGCCTCGATTAATGTGAAGCCTTGTGTCATGAGTTCGATTCTTGGAAGAACATGTATAAATAAATGGGGTTGTTATATTTTCTTGACAATGTGAAAAAAGTTACCACGTCTATGTTTTCTTGGTCACTTTGACTGATTTCCTTGGTCGTTTTCATGGTTTTCTTGAAGGTTTTTGGCTTGCCTCAAGGATCACTAGTACACAATTGATTTTCGCTGATGGTTGCTATTTTTTTACTAGTGGCTCATAATGTATAGTCGCCAATAGAAATGAAACTATGGGCCTAGCCACGAACCGCCAGTGTAAATTCATTTTTACTGGCTGCTTTATTTCTTAACACTACCGCTAGTAAAAATACATGATTTCTACTGGCGGTAGCCTTAAGAAAACAACCAGTAAAAAACCATTTATACTGGCGGTTTTCATAACCTAGCGCCAATACAAATTATTTGAAATTAATTTTTTTGAGTTTTTGAAATGATCTCAGATGGAGAAATGGTCTGAACAAAAGTTATAGGATTTGATAAGATCTACAACTTTGTAGTTGACAACTTTTCATTTACAATCATTTGGGGTGCAAAAATCATGTTTTAAGGTTAATGATTTTAAAATTCCTATTTTTTTTGAATTTCTCAAATAACCTCTGACTACAAAACAATTAAAAGCAAAGTTGTAGATCTCGATGAGATCTAAAACTTTGTAGTTGAAACTTTTTTCACCTGAATCGGTGTAGTGCTTTAAATCTCCATTTCAAAATGTGTCGGAGTAAATACTAAAGGAATATTTGTAATATTTAGTCACAAGTGACTTTGTGGTGCAGTGGTAAGGGGTGTAATGCGCGAGACTTGAGGCCGAACTGTGTGTGGCTGCCTTGTGCAAGCCTCCTTGAATAAATTTGTTTTTGCTATTTTTTGAGCTCGATTTGCAATGTTAGAAAAAACATTTATACTGGCAGTTTTCTTAACAAAATAGCAAGTATAAACCATTTATTGTGGCGATGTTCTTAGAAAACCGCCGGTGTAAATATTTGTAGAGGTGGTTATCTAGATGACGCCTGTGAAGTTCGCTATTTTTACTGGCCTTTCAACACTGACGGTTGGTAAAAACGCCAGTGAAAATGGGTTTAGAAACGCCAGTACAAATCTTTTCTGTACTAGTGGATATTTTGTTTTCTTGTGGTGATGATACATTCATATTATAGATCTAATTAAAAGATGTTTTGTTAGAGACAGCACGTTGCAGAAACCATTTCTTGAGGCGGTTGTAAATCGAGCCGCTTCTATTAAAAAAAGAGGTATCCCCACAAATCATATCCCTAGTAATGTTTTTGGCGTAGTGATGATACCTATATATTATAGATCTAATAAGACGATATTATACTTTCTTTCTGTTACCTTTTATATGAGGTAATATGTGCTAGTTAACATCTAGATCAATGGTCCACTATTAATTTGGTGTACCATAGCAAAGTACAAGGACGACAACAAAAAAATATTACAGAGTTTTCCATGTTGCATGCATGCACTGATGTATAGTTGAAGTCAACTGTGGCCACATTGGGTACAGGAGATGCCCATTATTCATAGGAAAACAACCGGGCAGTGTCAGGGCTGCTTGGAAGTTGCCCCACGCAGACTGGGGCCATCGCCATCCGAGTTCCACTGAAGTAGCATCCAGAACATGGATGTCCCTGCAATGAAATATGTATGTAAAATCAGGTTAAATATCAGTTCCACTCAAGGATTTCGATGTCGACCCTGTGATCTGATACATGTGTTGTACTACCTGCGATGAAGGTGAACGGGACGAGACTAGCTGCACTGATGGCGTGGTACACCACGCACTCGACGCTCAGGTAGCCGATGGCGTAGACGAAGGACAGGAAGGTGGCTAGGTACAGTGGATTGCTGTGGAGGTTGAAGGCGCACAGGAAGCAGAGCGTGCACGACAGCAGCGTCCACACCGCAACCGTGCGCCCATGCACGCTGCTCACTGAAAATCCCATCTCATAGTGTACGGTTTACAAGTTGAAAGAAGCAGCGAGACTCAGGAGTTGAGGACATAGTCTGAAGGTCACCAGAACGCACCCTGTATCTCGGAGAAGGTGGCCGAGCAGAGCGACGAGGAGCCGAAGAAGCACGACCAGGTGAAGGCGGAGCGGAAGGTGCCGACAGCCATGAGCCACCACCCCAGTGCCGGCATGCCGCGCTTCTTCAAGGGGCCGGCCATGGCGGTTTGGGTGCACGGGGCAACGAAAGGAGAGGGTGCGTGTGGGTCTTCACGCTCGCTGCGAGCAAGGTTACAAGTGCTTACAACACGCCAGCGTTGTGTTGCTATGTTTATGCCTCGCTCCATTTATAGGGTAGTGCAAAAGAGTTCAAAGTCTGGAGAGGTTTGTAGCTTTTTGGCTAATTAATTAGCCTACTCCCAGTCCACGTCAATTTCTTTAAAGCTACAACGTCATATATGAATATGAGAAGAGTTTTATTACAGTACTCTGGTAACCTCATACGATGTAAGATTTCAAATATCCCAAGCCTTGACTTTCCTAGTATTGATAAAATAAACAGTGAAATAATTAGGTAAAGAAATGGCCAAATCAATAAATAAAAGGAACAATTGTATTACTGCACTTATTTTCAACTCTAACCGTATGTTTGCCCATGTTTTTTTTTAACTTTGCAGATTTGTTCCTGTTTTTTTCAATCCGAAGCTTCAGTCTGCCCCAGTTTCTCAACCCTGTGAGCTGCTGGTAAATAATGAACCAAGAAAAAAATGTTTCGATAAAATAAATGGGAAAGTACGATCCTGCCATCCCTTATCTGCCGCCTCAACTCCCCTTTTCCCGTTACCATGAGGAGGTTGTGCGCTAGGTCTGGCATCGTGGTGCTCGAAGCATGGGGCGGCGCGGCGGGCAGGCGACATGGCAGATCTGCTGCGCCGCGGGCTGGCTGCGCGCGGGCGGCGGGCAGGTAGCGTAGCGAGCGGGCAGTGCGCCGCGGCTGGCCAGTGACGCGGTGGACTAACAATTTTTTAAACTAATTTGAAATCTAACATTGTTTAAATTTTATTTCCATAACTAACACTTTTGAGGGCACCTATTTCCATGGCGCGGCAAAACCCCTGTGCCACGCCATGCATGGTGACGCGGCAAGAGGCATGACATGGCGACGACCGAAACGCTGACCGGTGACGTGGTAGAAGCTGCCACGCCGCGGATCTGGGCGCGGCACTGCCGCGCCACGGCGCATGGCGCGGTAAACCGCGGGAGGTGCAACGGCAGGGCACTACTGCGGATGTGCTCTGTAGCAGACGATGGAGATGCAACAGCAGGGCACTACTGTAGTAGCTGGGCACTACTGCACACAACTGCAGCGACGCAACTACAGGTGCAAGTTGCTCAGAGCGTGCAACCATGCTCTTCCAGGCTGGTGGAGTGCATGCAGTTGCCTGCTGCTTTGCAGGAGAAGGGACATGCTGCCCCATCTAATCACCTAGACTCTAGCTATGTATTGTATGTATATTCATTCTTTTAACATGAGCAGATTACATGTTATTGTACCATATTTTACTACTTCTGTTTGGACATAAGTTCTGTGTTCAACTGATGTAGATTGATTATTCGTAAATAAGAATAGTCAGCAAACTATTATCTGATCTTTTTTTGGCTTTTTCTGATTTTCTGTATGTTTTATTCGGTTCCCCTTTGAAATTTTTCAATTTGGCTTCCATGCAAATAATCTGGCTATTTTTTGGTTTTTTATTTATTTTTTGTATGTTTTATTTGGTTCTCCTTTGATATTTTCCAATTTTTTACTTACATAAAAATAATATGGTTTTTTATTTGTGTTGTTTGGATAGTTTTTTTGTTTATTTGATCTAGATCCAAGGGTCAAGAAAATCAAGTGTTGTATGGACTAGAATAACTCGATTTTTATGGGGCTATTGCGTTCTTGCCCCCTACTTTGACGTTCTGGTGTGATTTTACCCCTGCTTTGTCATCGTTGTGATTTTACCCCTATTTTTTGAAAACGAAGCTTAAGTTTACCTTTATTCCGTGAACAACAGGTAATGGTGTCAAATGGGCTCAGTAAGGACAAGTTTGCCCCTACGAAATTGCACCTGCTTATCAGAATACATTGTGATTTTACCCCTATTTTATCGATAGCAGGCTCACGCACCGATCGTGGCGGCGAGGCGCGTCCCGCCCAGCCGCACTGCCATAGGAACTACTCCATGGTCTCGAGGAGCTTGTCGTCGACGCGCCTGATGTCGGGGATGTCGGACGAGCGCGCGACGCCGGCGTCGTCGCACCAGGCGTAAAAGCGCGGAGCGCGATCCGATCTGCTTACGGTGCCGACGTAGGTCTCGAGGCCTTGGAGCACTCGGGGCAGTCCATGTCGAAGAAGCGGTCGAGGAGGTGCACGAGGACGAGCGCGACGTCCTCGTGACTCGGGCCGTCCCTCGAAAGCGGCGGGTGGAGCGCGGCCAAGACGACGTGGCTGGCCCCGGCCCGAGCCCTGGGGGCGGCACGTGAGGAGGCGGTCCAAAGGTGCCGCAGGGGCGCGCAGGCCCAGAGAGCGCCTCCGTGTCCATGTCGGCCGCCGCCACAGCCATCGTGTGCAGTGGTCCCCTGACGAGGTTGTCGGCGAAGCGCGGCGAGGGGAGAAGCAGGACGAGGAAGCGGACGCGGTTGAGGAGGTAGGTGGTGTAAGCGCGGACGAAGGCGGAGTGGTCCCATGACGCCATGTGCGCCTCGTCGCAGAAGTCGAGGTGCAGTGCGAGCACGGGCTCCCCCGCGCGGCGGCCGGTGAGGGTGGGATGGAGCAGCTCATGGAGGAACCGCGTGCGGCCCTCTCCATCGGCGTCCTCGGTAGGGTCGGGGTTGGCGGTCGGCGGCGAGGCGGTGCAGGAGCGCGAGGCACTTGGTGACGACGACGTAGTCGCGGGTCCTGGAGAGGCGGCGGGCGATGGAGGCAACGCAGGCGGGTGCCACGCTCATGGCGGACGCGAGGCGGAGCACCTCCAGTGTGTGGCGGTCGTCCGGGGTCGCGTCGTCGTGGGAGGTGGCGCGCACGATGGCCACGTCGAGGTCCGGCGCCACGGCGCCCGTCACCCGCTGCGATGCCGATGGTCGCCTAGTCCTTGACTGCGCCCAGCACCTTGCGGATGGATATGGCAATGGCTGGGCGGGCGCCGGCCTGCTGCTGCTTCCGGTGCTCCTCCTGTTAGGGTCTTGGGGATGGGGAACGAGAGAGATAGAGAGGATACGGTAGAGGATGTGGGGATTGGGAGGGTACGAGTGGATAAGGGGTATTGTTGTCTTTTGATCTTATTGTGAAGGGTTTTGTTGTTTTTTATTTTTTATTCCAGATACAACTAACAGAGTTAAAAGTATGGGTAAACTGAGCCTTAATAGTTATAAAGCAGGGGTAAAATCACAACGATGACAAAAACGAGAGTAAAATCATAATTGGACATCTAAGTAGGGGCAAAAACACAATATTCCCATTTTTTATCTGTTGCCGATCGGGTGTTGGGCGCCGTCCAACACTAGAGTGTCACGGCTCCCAAAATCACTCGCCCCATGGGTAGAGAATTTTCAACGGTCAGTAAACAAAGCACAAAACTGAGAAACCGAGTGACAGTAGCTCCACGGAAAAGCAACTCTTCCAGCAATCAAGATATCATATATCAGAAACTAATTTTTAACAGACTTCTCTGTTTTCTAGTAAGCATCCATATATAGATATTTCTCAACTGTTAAAAAAAACCCCAACATATCATCAGTGCTCAAAGAGTCATACTCTAAGTCTCTGTTAGGAATCAGGATAAATACGAAAGCCAATTCAGCAGGGCTTCTATTTCTCTCTAGAGGTTGTTTACATGTCAAATCCCAGTTTTCATGTCAAATCTCAGCTAACCCACACAACACCAGTACACCACATGTGAAACATTATTCTTTTGCTGTTGTACCAAATGGTGCCTTTTGCCATCCTAATTGTGAATCAGACCCGCATAGAAGTTTGTTGAGATCATAAAAAAGTCTCTACCCACCATCCCTAAGTGGTGCTAGTTTTAGTGTACTTTAGTCAACAGCTGCTACTCACCTTAAAACTTTCATATACCATGTGAATCGCACAACGCCTGAAATGGAGTGAGAGGTTTCAAAATGAAGTTCTAAATTTTTTTTTCTATTCATCTTAAATTTTGCAAATGTTTTAAACTCTAAAGATTAGCATCATCTATGTACCATGGTACCAGGTCTACAGTACCCTCCTTTTTTACTGCAGAATGCAAATTTCTATATATCAAAGCAGGAAGGTTTGGCCGCTCCTCACGGTGTCCACGTCACCCCAATTATTTGCAGCCGTCCGATCCTCCATCGTGTGGCCAAGATTGGTTGTAGCGGCTTTCGTTCGAATCAGCTTCATGCAGATCCTCTTCGCTTTGCGCTGATTTTGCCAGCTTCTACTGCGTCTGCTCCGAATCCGGTCGACCAAATATAAACAGCAGCTTTTGCTTCTCCTTCTGGATTCTTCTGAAAATATCTCGCCTCCTCTTCCTCTCCCGAGCTCGACGCCTCTCCTCCCGGTCGCGGAACGCCGCCTCCACTGCCTCCGCCCCTGGCTTCCCTTCCTTCCTCTCTCCCTCTCCCTCTCTCTCTCCGACGTGGGCGCCCGTGTGGCCTTGGCTCCGCGCTGTCGCTTCACCGCGTTAGGCGCGGGCGGCGCCACGCCAACCCCGGGTGGCGCCACGCCGGCCCCGGGTTGCGCTGGAGCTCCGCGTGTCGGCCCCGGCGGCGGCCGTCCCCGCCCACAACGCGGCGCGTGCGTGCCCCGCCGTTGGCCGCCGGCCCGGGTGCCCACCGACGTGGCCTCCTTCCACAGCTCCGCGTCTGCTCCTCTCCATGAAACCCTAGGTGCCTGTGCTCGACGACCCCGGCTACGCATCGCCTCTTCCTCTTCAGCAGTGGCGCCGATGGCTCAACTTGGCAGCAGATCAGCGGTGCCTCACCCCTCCAACCGTGGTTCCGCGGCGACGGAGGCGGGTCACCCCCTCCTCGCCTCTCTCTTGCTCCACAGAAGCCCAGCCACCAGGTATGGATGGCTATGGGCACTTCCCCTACTCTGTTTGTGCTTCAGCTACAGTTTTTATTTTCCTAGATTTAAAGATTGATTTATTACTGGAAATGGATGAGGGATTAGAGCCAAGTGTTTAGTTTGCTT